ATAAGATATCACGGCCAATTGAAGATAAAATTGAGATTCTTTATGTAAATGCTATTAGGCTGCTACATTTGCACAATGAGTGAGTGCAAAGCTTCTCTTTAATTGATATTTTTCATTATTCAAGCATACTATTACCTAATACGTCTGAGTCTACATTCACTTTATCCACGAAAATGCTTCAAATCGCGTTTTTCGTCGGTAAATAGCATTGTAACCTTGCGTCAGTTGACACGCGCTTTCACTGCCGCATCCGGACTCTCAGTGCATATTTGTCTATGCATCATGAGCTTAAGTATTGTTTCCTTTTTCGTTAGATCAAGCTTCAACTTCTAGCGCTTAATCGCTCATGCCAAGCAAAGTTTGCGGACTTGTTAAAGGTTAAAAGAAAATATATTTCCTTCAACAGATGTCTATAAAATGAGGCTGCAAATGAGCGGTTTTCTTCTGGCAATTATGGTACTATAGCACGTTGCTGATGGAAGGCGGTCAAGAAAAAGATTATTTGCAGTTGTGCCTCATCGTCACTTATTTGCCAAATGAAATTTTAATTGCTGCTGTTATCCCCGGCTATAGTGTCTACGGTGGCGAGCTTTCTCCGCGGACCTTCAACTTCAAGACCTTCTACTTCAAGACCTTCAACTTCTAAACAACTAAAGGGATATTCTCATACTGCACTGTCCATGACGTGCATGTCGGGTCATCGACATGCATGTTCAATACCATTAGTGCACATGCTGCACCAGACTATATTTACGGACGTTGACTGTTTGCTTTAGGCACTGTTTCAAGCATTGTACGATGGCCGATAACAAAAGTATTTGTTAACGTTTTCAAGTTCCATTCGGAGTATCCGAAACTACGACGCAATGTTAGTCGGAACTAACGTATCTAGTTAATCATGTTATCGCATGATGTTCTTGCTCATTGGCAAACATTATTTCAGCAGTCGATACGTCCTCCAAACTTCAGTAACTGTTACTATATGGTCCCCGTTCGTCACAAACGACCGTTGACATTTTGTCAACCTCAAATTCGAATATATTAACCGTTTACACGCACGAGAATATCCCTTTATCCAAACTAGCAAGTGTGTCTACTGTTTTCTTACTAGGCAAACAAAAGTTTGTCACAGCATGTGCGCAGTTCACTTTACCTATGTGCATTCATACTAAAAGCCATTCGTCCACAAGCAAGTTATTTATTTGGGCTATTGACGTAAGCTTTCATGAAGGCCAAACCAATGCTGATTCGTCAATGCTGATTGTCAGCTTGAAAGTAAAGATGAGCAAAGTGGTTCAACTGAATCTTATGGTTGCAGTAGGGCATATTAGAAGTAAGTGACAAGTATGTGTCAGCAATTGTTTATGCTTCTTAACCCTAGATACTTTTGATTCAATCCTTTTGGTGATGACGTAATGTGGCAGAAAACAGTAGACACACTTCATCTCATCGGAAACCCTGAATGATTGGTATTTGTGAGCATGTGTGCCTGTTAGTGTGTAAGGGTGGATGTGGGTGTGTGGGTATGTATGTGCGTATGTGAGAGTGTGCGTGTCATCTTACACGTAATTTAGTGAATGAGTGAATTGGTACTAGTTTTCAAGTAAATACGTGCATGAGGGCGTGTAGTCAGTGGTGTATGGAACTAGCATTGTGCCTGCCTGCTGCCAACGAAATATGCAAGCCCACACAGAGAAAACAGTTTTATTGTGCAAAACTACATGCTGCTGGCAGGGTTTACATGCAAGTCACATATTGCAGGTCTACCATAAGCAGAGCGATGTGACATCTGATAAGTACCTAACTCACAGCAACACATACTCTGCATGTCCAGGGAAAGTGAGTTGTGCTCGGAACAGATTGGCCAGACAGTTTTGTCCTATCAAATTCAGAATTGTTTCATCCTCCTCACAGTTGCCATTAACATCATGAGCACACATTATTGCTAGATCTGAATGCCAGCTGCCTATTGCACCGCTGGCACGTAGTTTGAGACAAAGATGCCGCCAGTTTTCCACCTCGCTGCTGATACAATGCAATACTGCTACAAAATGTCCGTGTTCTGTGTTTTTAGTGTTGTATGTTTGTATATGAGTCTTGCGTCGTGTGAACATTACCTACATGAGTTTAAAGTGTTCCCGCGAAAGTAGGTACTGAATTAGCTCAAGCCAGGATTGCGTTGCGGATATATTTGTAGGCCATACAATGTTTTATGGCGTCATTTACGACATTTCCTGTTTTTCTTGTCGTTGTATGCACGTGAGTTGTGCCGCATGTTGCGCTTGTAAATCATGTTCTCAATGTCATTTTCTTTTGGTACAATTGGTCACCACTACACATCACTCGCATACACTCGCCCAAGCAAGTCGGATATCAATCACTGTCCAGAAGTGCATGATGCATTCAACCACGCATAGAACACTGGCACACCAAGAACATGAACTCACGCAAAAACGAGAGGGCTATCACACGACTTCGCATTGGACACACCGCTATCACACACAACTACATCATCACAAGAAGCCCGAGACCGAAATGCAACACCTGCAACACTTTCATCACTGTCAAACATCTGCTACTCACATGCCCACAATACCAACACCACAGGACACACATACAAACATACTGCAGAGACGCCAACATCCCACTAACACTCACAACACTGCTCGGGGACTTACACCCCGAGCTAACAACACTACTCATCCACTAAAGACACAACACTGGGCTGATCAATGACCTGTAAATCTCCTCCCCTAGAGCCAAGGACAAAAAAGCCAAAAAAGCCAAAAAAAAAAAGCAAAAAAGAAAAAAAATATTCAAAACAATGAGAATCAAAATAAAAGACCCCAGAATGGCAAAATGGCAAAAAAAAAAAACAAAAAAAAATAATAGAAGGGGCAATCCGGCTACCCGGGAGGAGATAGCTAGGAACCCAGTCCCACCCCTCAGCCCACCCTTACGAGCCAAGAAGACAACGGACACTTCAAGGCAACGGACGGACCAACAACGAAGACGGACGACAGAACCGGGCCCAAATACAGGACGCTGTGGTGGCCCGTAAGCTACAAATACCATACCATACCATACCAGTGCATCATGCAGCAGAATAAGCTTCATTGAACACACTCGTCATCATGAACGGCATCTAGGAGTTTCATGAGTTTGGATCTGTGACCAGTAAGTGGAATGGGAGCATAATGGTACACGCTACCAAACCAGATATGCCTACACAACGTTAAAGGGACCCTCCCACCTTCAAAAAAGTTTATGAATTGGCATGAAAGTGATGTCGCTCGGTTCAGAAAGAGCGAAAACGAATATCTACCAAATTTCACCGAAAAATATTCACCGGTTTTCAAGATATTAGACTTTTACTTTTGTTTACTTTTTTGGGATCTCCGCTGTTTCTAGCGACTTTATTTTAGAAGTGCGGCGTTTGCGGCAGATGTTGCGCGCAAATAGCATATACCACCGCGTGCTACAAAACGTTTTAGTCAAACATTTAAAAATCGTGAGATATTTGCGCTGACGTCACACATTCAGAGGGGTATTCCTAAGCATTAGCCCCTCTGAATCAAAATGCTGCAATTTTGAAATTCAATATTTCCGATTTAAGGCATTTCTCGATGTTGTGAGTGCCGAAACCGGTAATTGTGAGCCAGGGACCCCATTTTGGCTATCTTAACTCAAATCTAATGTTAAGGTGGGAGGGTCCCTTTAATATTTTTTTTTTTTTGTAATGCAACAAGGGAACGAAAAGCGTGTTCAAAACTTTAACTCCTTGTCCTTATGTGCCTGCAGGCTGATTTCGCAGTATCCAATGGCAACCGTGTATGACCAGGCGCCGCTTGGACGCCTTGTCCAGTCACGTCTTCTGGGACTGTGTGATGACTGCCTCTGCATTCTCAAGTGCCAGTTTCTGCCTCCGGCCCATTTCATTATCAAAGGATGCTGTTAGCTTAACGAACAGCTCTGCTCCAAGATTCCAAACGGTTTTACGGTACTGTATGCCTACAAAACGTTAATATTTTTTGGAGGCGGTAATACTCGGATGAACTGACCTTTATGGGTGGGTATTCAACGTTGAATAAAGTAGGCTTGTAGCCCTCTGCCTATTGACTTCTAAGGGTTTTAGTAATATTTATCGAATATCTCATCTGAAATGCATTTTCACTCACAGTCGTCGAAATCGAAAAATCATAAGCTTAGAAATCCGCGGACTTGACATATTATATTTTATCGACGATTCGTTTCGACTTGCTGTCATGTCAGCTAATCATCCGTTGCTTCTCCTATTTTCACAGGTGCATTACCAGTCATCTTTACCGTCGATACCGTTGAAGATTTTACCGTCGATCACGGAGCACCCATTGCGCTGGCCGTTGCTGGCACTTTTTTATTTGTCACTAGCTATTAGTTATCTGCAGATATACATTAGCCACCTGTACACCCGCTTACACTAGGTCTCATCATCTAGTTCTACATATGTGTGTGTGTTTGTTTTAATTGTATTGCCAATGAATTCGGTAGACATGCTCCGCCCGCAAACATGTACCACATGATGCAGTTCACTGAATGTAGCAGTTAATCACTCGTAAAAAGCGGTCATGTTTTCGTATAGTGTAGGTATGCATCTATGTAAGCATGTGTTCACACTCATGAGCGATCCACACATGATATTGCATTTCCTGTTCAGTTATATTTTTAGCACTGGAACACGATGCTCATACACTGTGTTGTTATCTTTCTTTTTTCGCCTGCTCCTTCCTCCAACTTGTGTCTTTGAGTATTTCAGTCACATGCTCAAACGTTCTTAAATGCTCTCGCCATCGGTTTACGGATGCGTTGAAAACGGACATGTGATGACCAAATTTAACAATATGCGGACAATGGATCGACTTCTTGAAGCCTGTGGACGTGATACACCTTCTCCATCACCATCAAGAGATCAACATTTTCGAAGACACTTGCGTACGGCTGGTATGTATTCATATTTGAATGTCCATTGTCAACACGTTGCAGAATGCTTTACATTTTGTGTGATCATTTACTGTCCTCATTCCTACACAATGCCAACATGTTTGTCATCGTCTTCATGTACCTATCTATTGGGATTGATGTTTGCGTTTACTGGCAGACACTTGTCAACATTTTCAGCAGTGTCCGGCGCAATGCTGAATGCGACCTGTTATCTGTTGGATCTACTCTGTGAGCCCGAACCCCAGTGCAAGTGAGTTGTTTGTTACACCAGTGCCGGAGCACTCTGTAATATGTGCAAGAGCCTGTGACTTTGTTTGCTTGGCTAACTAAACGCATACCTACGGAAAATCATTCCAACGTTGCTTTGGTTTTCAGTTGAGATGTCAATCGGATACCAACTTTTTGGTATACCGATACCAAACCGATACCAACTCGGTATTTGGTATTTCAATCCTAATGTGTTTGGTATTTTGTTGGTATCATGAACCCTCGCTAATGTCTAAGAGGCTAAGAAATCGGTAAAAAGTTGGTTTTTTCCTCATGTTCCCAAGTTGGTTTGGTTTCGGTATATTTCTCCACGGTTTTGGTTGGTATTTGGTTTGGTATCGGTATTCCGATTTTCTGTAATTGACATCACTAGTTTTCAGTGTTTTACTGTATTTTTAAAGCAGTGCCTACACATATCAATCAAATATATCCCGCGCACCGACGGGGGGGGGCGGATTTCCGCCCCCCCCCCCTGAGGTTTTCCCACTATCTACGGTTTTCAGGTTTTCAGGAAAACCGTGCGCAGGATATTCTAAATGCCTTAATATGGTCCATTCCATAACCATCTAACCGAATTCCCGAATTCCCGATATTCGAACCGAATTTCGCAAACCTTCTCCCTTTCTGGCAGTGGCACTGTTCGACTATAGCGCTGGACGTCGTCTACTTTTTGCTAGAGGGAAAGGTCATCATCCGTCCATGAACTTCGGGCTGCTCACAGCTATATTGCCTTGGCAAGTTCTTTGAGCACTCAATACTGGACTTGGGCTGCGAAAGCTAATGACAATTTGGGGAGCTTGATATTGCAATGGCTATGACGTGAAGGCTCAATATGACGAACAGCCCGACTATTCACCATTGTCAACGCTTATGATAGCTAAATATCATTGTGCTTGGTGTACATTCACGTCTCGTTTCCTTGCTCCATTTGTACCTCACCGGTCGTCCGTCCCCACAGGCCTCGGCTGCAGCACAAGCCACATTCATCGGCCCAATCATCAGTTATTCATCCTGCAAGTTTTAAGTCACTTCGTTGTGACCCGGACATCGTCATCTTTCAACGAGTTCAAATGATTATTTCATTCATCATCGTCGATCAGACTCATCATGTAAAGACACTTCCATAATGCTAGCCGCCATCTACGTTTGTGCAGGAAGCAAATATCAGGTTGTTATTAGCTGCGGGCTACTCAGTACCGACTGAACTACTGGCAGTAGTGTGCGAGCACCTAATACTTGTATTGTGATACCAAAGCTAAAACGGATGATAGCTTAGCGCATAGGGCCCTACCGCTTTCCACACACACACACAAACAAAACTTGACTTTGGGCATTAGCACCATGGCAGGATAAACGGGCAGTTTCGCTGTTTTTCACTGCTTTCATTGGCAGGTGTTACTGCTCATTCCCGTTTTATGTGATGTTAGAACAGCCCTTCACCATAGTCCTGTTTTCTCCTTTGCCGTTTTCCATAGACATCAGATGCGACATGCACTCCAACGATCGGTCAGGCGCATCACCGTCAATCCGGTCGCCTGTTAAGCAGTTCGTAATCACCGTCAGTCTTCGACATCTGTCAACACACTTATCCACATTATCGCCTTACTTTTGATCTTATCAATATGCAAGAATGAGTGCAAAATGCATTCCAATATTGCATCAGTTGATGTTGTATCGCAATGACACCGCGTCCTCACCTCACATCTGTTGTGCATACTTGATCACGAATGCCAGTTATACGCAGATTCACATGGTGAAGTTTTACTCCGTTGACGTTTTCTTTCCATTCTTGTAGTCGATCAAGAGGGATTACAGTTGCACATGCGGCCTTACACATGCGTCCTTACATGTTAGCTGATTGATATGTTGGACACACTGGTTCCTGTGACTCCAAGTAGTTCTGCATTGGTATTGCTTCACTTTATATGTTCTACCCAAAGATCGTTTCTAGTTTTGTCTTAGCTTGCAGCTGTATGCCATGAACATACAGGGTACTGCGCATCTTTATCGTGACATTCCTGTAGTTTCGTCACTTTCGCGGATGATTAGGACCATGAGCTCAGTTGCAGATGCGTCCAGCAGCCACCGACATTTCTACACTTTAAATTCCTAGTCTCGGATCTTATCCACATGCCAACATCATTTGAACATTTCACACGTTTAGTGATGAAATGAGCAGGTATCATCTACTACATTATATTTTCATGTAAAGCACACTCCAGTCTGTGAAAAAAGAAAACCATTAGGAGCAACAATCATGCCTTAGACAGTATAGTTGCCATAGATATTACGTTGTGCAGCGGGCAGGCCGGTGCACGAAATGGCGAGTGTGAATGCAGGAATGCGTGTGAAAAACTGCCTAGGTGTGGAGTGGCTGGTTTGTCTTCCGTTACATCGTAACGGGCTCTTGACGTAGTCTTTTTTTAGTAACACCAATCATCTTTCGAACTTGAATTAACGTAATTGAAAGATGGCTATCACATTTGGAGCCAACTTTTTTGCTAACTGCGTCAAGGGCGGGCAGCGCGGTGCGTGGATGCCTTTTGGTAAAGCTCACGTCCTAATATACTATCCAGCCCTTACCAAGCGTGCATCCATGTTTCCTCCATCCGGCTCCTCGTGCCGCTGCCTGGAATATTAGCCTACGGCTAATATACCAAGAGATGGAAAACTTTTCGTTGGTATGGAATATGGATGCCTCGTGGTTCAACTGGTGATGTTCAAAACAACTGTACCGTGTGTCAGGTAGGTCTTACTCACTTTCCGCTTCATTTTTTTTCTCGGCCGCGTAGGAAATATGATTTGACGGTAATCGTGGCGCTTTTGTTTCAGTGGCTGAATGACAGCGACATCTATAACTCAGGATGCACTCAGAGCCCGAGTCTGAGTTTGGCTAAAAAAATCGCCCATAAAAAATTCGCCCATCGCCCGCCCGCCGCGAAACGGGTGATTTTGTTTTTGCGTCGTTTTCGGTAAAAGGTTTATTTTCGGTTGGCGGCGGCCGGGCGCATTTTTGCGGTTTTTGCGTTTGACGGCGGGCGGCCGTTTTTTGCGGCGTTTTGCGGTTGGCGGCGTAGAGTGCAGTGCACGTCAGTTCGTAGAACACGCACTCCGATCTGCACGTGCAAGGCTCATCCTCTCGTTTGGCGGCGGGCGTTTTTGCGGCGTTACAGAGGTGCTTGCTCAAACAACCTGCGGTCCCGCGATGCGGAGCCCAGCATCGCAGATGCTGGTAACCGCAGGTTGTTTGAAAAGACAAACACTATTCGTTAGAATTGTGTTTTTCTATTGAAAAACAACCGGAGCGGTCCTTCTCCGGGCTATGTTTTGCATGTCTGGCCGCGAATTGGGGCAACTTGGGTCAGGCCTAAACTTGTGGCTCGATTTTCTTAAAAATTTCAGTGTATGGGCTCCCGCAGGCGATCTACCTGATGGCTTCGGTCGCTACTCGCTTAAAACCTCGTGGCACGTGGCACGTGCGATTCCATTTTCCCCATGTTAAGTCAATGGGGTTTTGGACACTTTTTGCGCGATCGCGAATAGCGGGAAAACGAGCCAAGGAAGAGGTGGTTTTCTTCCCAGCATTTTATGGCAAACACGTTTGGGTACACGCTAGTGTGCGCCGTATACCCCTCAGAACTTCGTAACGTGACTTTGCACGAGGTCAAAGTTGAACTTTTTTCGCTCCCCATGTTAAGTCAATGGGCATTTTTGCAGAGACTTTTTCATTCGCTCATTGTACAAAATTATATGATACGATTTTGTTTAAACTTCCAGGACTTGTTGAGAAAAGACCATAGAACATGTTGTTATGCTTCTTTAAGCTGTGCAAATTCGTTTGTTCTTTTTAGGCTCGTTTAAAAATGAAAAATTTTAACATGGAAAGTCAATGGGAGCGTCTTTGCTGCTTAATAACTTTTTACAGTTGAGATATATTTATGTGAAAAGTTGATAGGTTATACAACTTTTGATGCTCTTTCCAATGATATATACAACTTTATTGCACGTGGTGCCGTTTTTGAGAAATATAGTAAAAAAGCACGACATTACCGAGATTTGAGCTCAGACCTATATCGTTACGGTGTCAGGCGGACACGAGGACAGGTGGCGCCGCCGCCGCCCGCATAGCGGCGGGAATGTGAACTAACCTGTTTACCATCTATGGTATGGTACCATCGGGGGACCGGCCGCCGTCGGCACCATTTCGGGACTTTGCATCGCAATAAAAGGCTTATTTACAATTGAAAATGGACTAGCGAGAGTCGTTATGGAATCAGAATTTGATGCTCTACAAAACTAGGCTATTTTCATTGTGATGGCATCACAGACTACACCGCTAAACCCAATAAAGCAGATTTATGTCGCGTCATCGATGATTACATATAATGTATCATTCTTTGATATATATGTAGTCGGGTCTTTCAGCTGCGTCCCTCCCCTCCCTCGCCGCGCCGGCGGGTCGGCCATCCGTGGCTTGCCGCCCGCCGGCTGCTGGCCGGTCAGCTGGCCGGTCAGCTGGTCGCCCGCGGCTGTCGGTGCAGTGCGGGATGCCTACTTGCGGGGGGGGGGGGGCCGTCGTGGCGGCGGCCCGGGTGGACTGGGCGAGCAGTGAGTTGGGGAGCGCTGCGCTGTCGGTGCTCTAGTTTGTATTGCGTTCGCATGATACGGCTTGAGCCAATACAGAGTGAACTGATTGAGCTGAGCAAGTCTTTACATACATTGAAAAGTAAAGCACTTTTTACTGCATCTACGGTGAGATGCTAGATAAAATTTATGGTCTACCTAATGGTACCCATTACTTAACAATTAAGTGAATCATTTCGTCGCTAAACTCTCGTAAATTCGTATGTCCGCCTCACTATGGAGTTTGGACCGTAACGTATGGCCTTTGCTCAGACAGTATACGAACAGGTGACGGGGATACCTCTAATAGAAGGATGCGACACGATTTTACTGCTAAATAGCGGCCGGCCGCCGTGGGGACGTTTTTGTACGACTTATATCTCGGCAACCACTGGGCTGATACACGTGCGGTTTTTTTGTGTGGGGTAGCTTTTTCCCTTCTTTCACATAGTGTGCTACTCTCGATGCATATGGGTGACCCCTAACGCACGTTCCACGTGCAAAGCCAAGAGGTGCCTGTTTTGTAATAAGCGCAATAGCTCGCGGTAATTACTGGGCCGATTGCGCTAAAACTTGGCATGGAGGTAGACACTTTCCAGGCGATGCATTTCCATGTGTCTTGGTAGGGGTGCAACTGCACGTGCGCACGTGCAGGGTGACGCTTCCAGATCTCGAGAACGGCTGGACCGATTGTGTTCAAATTTGGCATAACGCTTGATACCGATCAGTAGGTTGCAGTCATTTAGTATGTATTTCCATGTGCCACGATTGGGGTGCAACTGCACGTGCGCACGTGCAGGGTGACGCTTCCAGATCTCGAGAACGGCCGGGCCGATTGAGTTCAAATTTGGTACACCGCTAGAGACCGATTAGTAGGGTGCCGTGCGCAAGTCAGTTTGGACCCATCTTGCACGTGCGCACGTGCAGGGTGACGCTTCCAGATTTCAAGAACGGCTGGACCGATTGCACTCAAATTCGGCAAACATCTAGAGATCGATCAGTAGGGTGCCGTGCACAAGTCAGTTAGTATGTATTTCCATGTGTCACGGTTGAGATGCAACTGCACGTGCGCACGTGGAGGGGTCGTTTCAAGATCTTGAAAACGGCTGGGCCGATTGAGCTCGAATTTGGTACACCGCTAGGGACCGGCGAATAGGGTCCCATGCACAATGCAATTGGACACAGCTTGCACGTGCGCACGTGCAGGGTGACGCTTCCAGATCTCGAAAATGGCCGAGCCGATTACACTCAAATTTGGCACACCGCTATAGATCAGCGAGTAGGGTGCCGTGCACGTCAGTTTGTAACACACCGACTCCGGTCTGCACGTGCAAGGCTCATCCTCTCGTTTGGCGGCGGGCGTTTTTGCTGCGTTTACAAAGGTGCTTGCTCAAACAACCTGCGGTCCCGCGATGCGGAGCCCAGCATCGCAGATGCTGGTAACCGCAGGTTGTTTGAAAAGACAAACACTATTCGTTAGAATTGTGTTTTTCTATTGAAAAACAACCGGAGCGGTCCTTCTCCGGGCTATGTTTTGCATGTCTGGCCGCGAATTGGGGCAACTTGGGTCAGGCCTAAACTTGTGGCTCGATTTTCTTAAAAATTTCAGTGTATGGGCTCCCGCAGGCGATCTACCTGTTGGCACCGGTCGCTACTCGCTTAAAACCTCGTGGCACGTGGCACGTGCGATTCCATTTTCCCCATGTTAAG